ACAGCATAGCTGAGCTTGCGGCCTTCAACAAATCGCGCCACTGTGAGAACCACCAGTCGTTGCTGCCCTCGAAAGGCGGTGTGCACCGGCTGGCCAGACCACCGAGAGAGCAGCTCCTGAAGTGCATGGGATCCACCTGTCGTTGGAGCTGGCAGCAAAGCGAGCGGACCTCCCGCATCGGTGACCTCAGTAGTGTTTACATCCCTGACTTCCCAGGGTCGTGCAATCGGAAAGGCGGTAATGCCTGCAAATAAGGCCACTAGAAACTCCGAAGCATCTTGTTGTTGGCCATCATAGCGCCAAGCGGGAGTAAGATGGCGAAGCGTGAAAGAGGAAGTCAGGGTGAAAGGAGAACCAGAGACAGAATCAGCCACTTCCTGATGGAGGGAGGTGCTTGCCCCTCCGTGCTCCAGCAAGATGCACGTCGGCACCAGGGCCGAAAGCGTTGAGTTAACATAACAGTAGTTGGAGATGTTGCGCAGCAAGCGAGGAGCAGCGAGCGCGCCGTCCTTTGATTCTACTGTCCCTGACTTCGGTGGCAGGGGGCCTGCAGGCGTTGCCTGGCGAGTCTGGGGCGTTGCTCCAACAGCGGTGGTATCGTCCCGTGTGGGTGCGTTGCCTTGTGTCGTGCCAACCGCTGGCATGTACCTGCGTAACGGTCCGCCCTGGCAGCGGGAAAGTGCATGAACCAAGTCATAAAACAGAATCTGAAAAAGGATCGGACATTGTGCCGGATGCTGCCTCTTATCCGTAACAGGCTTGCGGCAGCACGGGCAAGGCATGCCCTTGACAAGGGTCAGGCCTGATTTGCTGCTCTGAGTTGCAGCTGTAGCGCCATGAGCCGCCCATTCAGGTTTGTGGGCCTGCCGGATGTGAGACTTGAGCTTGGTATTGTCCGGGGTCCAGAACCCACACAGCAAGCAATGTGACATAAGGTCCTGAGACTCATCAGATCGTCCGAGCTCCACAGCCGTGTGTGTTGTCAGAGTGTCATGCAAGCGCTGCTGCCTGGGATGCAATCTGGGCTGATGCTGCGAATCCAAGGGAGGGTGCGCCGCGTCATCCAGCTCCTGTAGCCTAGCTGGCTCCGAGCAGGCACCTGATAGCAAGTGGTCCTTTAAGCCCTTCATCTGAGGGAATTGCCTGTTGCAGGCCGCACACTTGGGGAGCCCTCCTACAGAGAGGGTGTGGGAGAAGCCTCGAGGGACATATCTGATGACCGAGCCTGGATGCTTGCGGGCCTGGTGGGTGCGAAGACCGACCTCAGTGTCGAAGGCCTGAGCACACGTTGGGCACACGAAGGACGGGGGGGCCTCCTGCTGTGATGTGTCCTTAGAAAGTTGCTGCAGAACGTCTGCATAACTAGTAGAGAGTGCCTCCGCCTGGAGAAGCGCGCGCTGGGTTAAAGAGATGTCCCCCGCAGGAGTTTTCCGCCGTCGAGCACCTAAGCGCTTGACACGATTGGCCTGTCGCGCCTGCAGCTTACGGACAGGGTCCATGATCTCATGGGAGGCGTAGAGGTCAGCCGTGGATATGTGTGTCAGGTGCGCTGGCTTGTTCAGGACAGCTCGAATTTTGCGAGCGTGCCAAGCCCGCAACAGTTTAGCTGTCTCTAGGGTCAAGCCCACATCCACCAATCCAGAGGCTACTGTGGCCCAGACAGTGCTATGCCAAATGTGCAACCGCGATGCAGGCCCCGCCGTTCGTCTGTTGTGAACGAAGCGGCGTACCTGCTGCAATTTCACATTGCCCTCCTGCAACCGGAACTTGAGAGTAGCCTTCTCGAAGTTGGAGTAGGAGAGCATGACGCCGAGATACTTAAAGGACGTCACCAGCGGAAAGCCCTCGTGAGACTTGGACTCTCCCAGTCTCCACATCTTATGGCGGGTTCCGTCAGGCGCGGTGCGCCAATAAGTGTGCTTGGAGATGGCGCGTTGCGCCTGTTGGCCCTCGAGTTTGACCATAACAGTGCATTTTGCACCG